GCTTTATCGGGGAAGTCGATAATGGTTACGTAGCCGAGGAAGCCCAGCAACATGGTGATGGCACCCTCCTATAATCTGTCAGCAACTGGTAGAGAGTATAAAGGGGTTAACATACGATCGCAAAGATCCATTGCCACCCATTCAGGCCCCCTAGTCCTCTCATCTCGCTGAGTCCCCAAGCCAAGATGTTGGAGAAACCACTTGCAAGAAGTGCTAGCAGGTAGAAACCGCTGAATCTCTTCTGTACCTCGAATCTCACGTACCAGCAACTCAATAAGAAGACGCAGCCAGGGTAGTAGCCTGCTTCGAGCACGCCCAGTATAATTCGGCATCCGAGTGCTTGCGTCCAGTCGTTCGTAAAGCCCATGCCAATCGTGACAGCGCCCCAGCAAACGACCAAGGAGGGTAGCCATACGGCAGGGCCGAGCTTTCGAATGATGATGTTGGCAGGGAACTGGAAGATGATATAAGGTATAAAGAAGATCATGGTGAGGATGGAGTAGCGTGAGCCGATGGAGAGACCCAGGTCCTCGTCCATGCCTGCGATACGCGCCTAGAATCTGAGTCAGTATACGGCTTACAAAGACGACTGAGGATATGCAGTACATTCGGAAGGTTGACGCGGTCGATGAGTGCGAAGGCATAAATGACAGCGAGTGTTGGTAAGAGCCTGAGATCTATCTTTCGAATGATGCGACGTGTTTCCTTGTCGTCCCTTTCGATGGGTAACGAAGCTGGTCCCGAGGAGTCATTTGCTGGATCTATAGCATCATCGACGTTGATACGATCGTCTCTACCGCCATAGCTCCTCTCATCGAATGAGATCTTCTGTCGTCAGCGCATCATTTTAGTAGAGCTTGAATGGACACTGACATGCTCCTTTCGCTCGGCTTCAAGATCCTTCTCCTTTAGCGACATGTTGATCTGTGGTAAAGTGACTGGAATTCCTTGCACTCAGCACGCCCCCAGCACTCTTATCGCTGCATCTCCTCCGATTCTCCAACGATAGATCCCCGCCAAACGTCTCCCGAATCGCGGGGTGCAGCGCACATCTTTACTCAATCCGGCTATGACAGACCGTTTGTTAGAGTAAGAGCTCGCTTCGCGGGCTTAGCTTCATGCATTGTTACCTACGAAATTCAGCTTCGGCAGCGGAGTGGAGGCTTGGCTGTTGAGATGTTCGGATGAATGAAGTTCGCGGATGACGTATGTTGACTCGACCTTGCGATGTCAGCGTCGGGAAAGGGAAGGGCGCATGCTTGAGTGAACGATGCATTCGCTTATTTGCTGGGTCCTCTGGATGGTGTCTGCACCTGCCGTGGCGAAATTATGGTTTGCGCCATGAACATAAGCGTGCCGTCCGTGAATAGGGAGTCGTAGCTGCGGTTGGCACTCGTGGGGCACGGCACCTCTGTGATGCGGTTCTCATATCGCGATCATCGATAGAACAGTTGCGTTATCATCAAAGGGGAGCAAAGTACGTGCAGGTGCAAGGCGGAGAGCAATGCGACGTCGACGCGATTGATGATGGATGCTGACCACGTGACTGTACCCAGCTGGGACTAGCTCATCGCGAATCTTCCACGCTAAACTTCAGCGCGTTCCTGGCATCGACGCCTCACTCTTCCATCATACCCCGCGATGCCCGCCTTCTTAGATGATAGTATCGCAAAGAAGCGATCCTTGACTTGAAACCCAAAGCACTCTTCCGTCTACGTCGCAATTGCTCCTAGTTAAGATGGACGGATGCCGAACGTATGCGCGTCCACATGGAGCACCCACTCATCGAAGATCATCGCTGCTGGCTTGCTGACAACGAAGCAAATCTGTTTGAGGTCTCGGTCCTCCAGAACTTCTCTATTGATGGTTCCATAACTTCTTACGCTAGATCTCTGGTTGCAACTAGAACACCGCCAATACCGCACCACTTTGATGTGTTGTTCTCAATCGCTTCGACCATCTTCCCATGCCTTGTTCACGGTGCAGCTGCGAGTTTGAGGACGAGCTTGTCTCATTGCTAACGCGTCATTTCCTTACCAGAACGGAGTAAAAGACTCGGAGAAACAAGTAAACTCTTTAACCAACATTAACCGCGGATGTGGCACTGATCGATCAATATCCAACATCCAACATCCAATGTCGTACAAAGAGTCACCGTACACCAACGTAGCTTGAGCCAAGCCCTACGTATTCTCATGCGCCGCAAAAGACCATGGTGCGAACCTGAATTTCCTCTCGACCGCGAAATGCCGCCTCAACCTGATGTAAGGGTCAATGCATCGATGGCTGCGTTTGCTTCGATTACGTGCAGTCGATGCAAACGCACAGCGACGCGGGATCCGAGTCGCTACACCTGCGTGCATTTTACTCACGACCTCATCCTACCATTCCGCAATGGCTTCCAATCGCGCTCGAGTGCCTGACCAGGCCTCTCCAATCCACCGGCTGGCGATCAAGCCTCTCTTCGACAGCCTCCCACCTCGCGACAAGCTCTACGCTCACTATCTCTCGCAAGCAGCCTGGAAAGGAGCACGCATCATCCTGCGCCAGACTTCTTTAGAATCCGAAGCCATCTTCAACTTCATCATAGAGGCCTATCGTGCATGCGAGGGCGAGTGGAGCCAGTTCGAGGAAGTATGCGCGGTAACCGGCGATGAAGTCAAGGCCTTTTTGAGCTATGCTGGGCTATTCCTGTACAATCTCGGGAACTTTTATGTAAGTGTCAGCAGTTGTGAGAGAAGACAAGATTATGTGCTGACCATGTAGGGTGAGGGAGGCCAGAAGTTTGTGCCTGATCTTCGCAAAGAGTCTCTGGAGAAGATCGTGGGATGCGTGGGTATGACAGGATCTGCTGCTGAGAACTTAGTTGAGGGTATGACTGCAGTAACTCCGCAGAATACAGGATATCCAAGCGATACTGCTGTGTCGAGCTACTACCTGGGCGACCGCATTACGCGCACAGAGATCAAAGAAGTCCAGCTATACATGCAGGAACAAGGCGTTGAGCCAGAGAATACGCGAGTGCGAAAGACGATCCATAACGGCAACGCCATCTTGGACATTCTCCAGGCATCGACTCAGACTGGCAGCGGCAAGCTTACTACAGCTACACAACTTGGTGGCCCGAGATTCAGACCCATGAAAGGGGATCATCAGGACGAGATCTCTACTATCTCCGCACAGTAGGTCTATCTCTATCCTGCTATCTTCCAACCATCGATGACAGCATCAAGATCTGCTAGCCTGGCAATAAGACTAACGAAATTTCACAGCCTCCAGAGGGCCAGTATGTACGCACAGAATCAAAATCAGAAGGACATACTCGATTGCCACATGTACAGCTTCAACACCGGAGATCTCCGAGAATATCGACGAGGCCAGGAGATCTGGGTCAAAGACAAATCCCCATCAATCGAACACATTCTCGGCTTCGTTGAAACCTATCGCGATCCCCATGGCGTACGAGCGGAATGGGAGGGCGTGGTGTGTATCGCAGACCCAGAAGAAACAAAGAAGATGGAAATCTTCGTGGCTAGTGCAGCGAAGTTCTGTACATTGTTACCTTGGGCGACGGCGGAGAACGAGGGCAAGGGCTTATTCGAGAAGGATGTGGTTACCATACCCCAATGTGCTATTGTGCATGGTGAGTGCCGGCCCTCTCCGTACATAAACCCATGCTAACGCTGATGATGCAGCTCTAGCAGTCTGCTGCCCGTATGTTTGGGAAGCGTCAAACCTGCCCAACGTAAGTCGTCATAACTGTCCTCCACACTTCAATGTTCTAGTCACTAACCTTCAATTGCTCAGTACAACGACATCCGCGAAAATCACGGCTCAAAGAACATCATCATTGCTAACCGAATGAGCGCGAATCGCAACTCCTCCGGCGCATCCATCTACCTCCAACCCTCAGACCGCCAACTCTACCGCCAAAACCTGCATACCATCCGCTTCGTCGCAACAGTCATCCACGAACTCCTCGGCCACGGCACCGGAAAACTCCTGAGCGAAACAGCCCCCGGTATCTTCAACTTCGATGTCACAAACCCGCCAATTGACCCTTTGACGAGCCAATCGGTGGCTTCCTGCTACCGCCCCAACGAAACATACTGGAGCATATTCGAAGACATTGCCAATTCAGTTGAAGAGTGTAGGGCTATACTCATGTCAGCATACCTCGTCGATAACAAAGACATTCTCGCCATCTTCGGGTATGATGAGAAGACTGAGTTGACGGCTGATCACTTGGTCTACCTTTCTTACCTGCACCTCGGTGTCGAGGGTCTCCGTTCGCTCGAACACTACAACCCCGATGACAAGAAGTGGACCCAAGCACACAGCCAAGGCTACTTCGCCATCTTCAAACACCTCCTCATGGAGGGAGACGGCGTCCTCATAGTCCACCACGACGCCAGCACCTCTGCCCTCCACGTTACCGTCGACCGCACCAAAATCATTCCCAACGGAAAACCCGCACTGGGTCGCTTGATGTGCAAATTGCATATCTGGCGATGCACAGCCGATATCGAGGCGTGTCGACCGTTTTATGAGAGCCTGACGAGTGTAGATGGGGTGTATGAGGCGTGGAGGAGCGTTGTGGCGACGAGGCCAGAGCGGAAGGCCAAGTTCGTGCAGGGTAATACGTTCCTGAAGAAGAATGGGGAGATGGAATATAGGGAGTACGAGGAGAGTGATGAGGGAATCATAAGGTCTTGGGCTGAGAGGGGGCCTCTATGAGGTAGTTTGTAGGGGGGTGTTTGGGGTAGGCGGGTAGGCGGGTAGGCGATTCTGGTATTGACTGAATGGTTGATAGCGCTGTATCTGGCCCCAATATCGCTTGTGGCTTGCGATTCCCCATACATTGATAGTTAGAAGGCCAATGGGCAGTAGCGGTAATCACAATTGTGGAAGCATATCAAGACAGCTGTGCAGAGTCCATGTATCGAAAGCTAGTCTGTATCAAACCCTCCAAACTTATTGCGGTGGACGCCATCGTGCCTCTACTTCCGCCTACATGAACCGCCAGACTTCAAGTACATAGTCACCTTCCATTCATCAATCCCGCACATAGGCTTCATTCCGTACTTCTCCATTTGATGCACCATACGCTTGGTAGGAGGATCACGTAACTTTTCTCTCGACCTAAGTTCCCTCGCCGCGATTTCTCTCGCCGTAATAGTAGCCTCTTCTTCAATAGTCTTGATTTCAGGTATGTCTTCGCACAAGATGCCAGCCGGGCCACCGTACTTCTCTGTTTTGTCGAGAATGATGGAGCGTAGTGGCAAGCCCTCTCTAGGGATGCCGTGTGCCAGTACCAGGGTGTTCCCGTTCACTTTGCGTATTGCCTCGCAGGTATCCAGGAAGCTTATTTTCTGTTTCTGATCATTTGCCAGCTCTTGTATCAACTCCCGGTATTGCCACTCGTCCGTTGTGTCGTGGAAGATCAGTTCCACCTCTTCACGCTGGAAGTCATCTTTCAGCATGCGAGCTATGTCGAAAGCGAGGAGTACGCGATACCTGCTCAGCCAGGGATTCGTACGCTCCATGTCGTCTGGCCTTTTCTCGCTTGCGATGTCGATAGGTCCCAGCCCGAAGCAGACGATATTATTTATCTCCTTGTATTGTTGATTGTCGCGCCACACCTCGGTCAATCGGTCGCTGAAATCTTTGTGGACCTTACTCCCCTCCCACATTTCGCGTGATTCTGACAAGCTGTTCGTGCTCGTTTGAATCCACTCAAAGGACCGACCAGAGTCGACAGGTATGTACATGTTGATCCCTTTGAGCAGAAGATCCTCATAAGGAGCCAAGTCTTTTGGAATATGGGTTTTACCATCTGCCATGGGATATCGAGAGGCGAATTCGTGGCGCAGGAAGAAGCGAACTCTCGTTCGCCACTGACTTGAGCTACGCAACCATGCGGGTTAGCCAACGTACAGTCTCTCTTGCCATGGTTGTTGTCACGATGTCTGATGCACTTACTCTATGCTATAGTAGTGAAGAGGGTTCGTGACAAGATATGTTTGACCGTCAAACGCCATCATCTCACATTCAGGTACATCCTTCTTTAGCGAGTTGATTAGCTCCACGTTGTAATTTATGGCTCTGTCCGGGAAGAGAGCTCGATCTCCGAGGTGGTCGTCGAGTGCCTCCAGCTGTGGCCGGTACCGAGCTATCAGCTCGGATGTCTTGTTGTTTGTCTCTTCGGCCCGCGCCATCTCGACCTGTGTCTCCGGCATGGATGTAGCAGATGCGATGAGGCGAGCTAGCGCTTGTGCTGATCGTGGAGGAGTTTGTAGATACCAAAAGCCAGGCTGCTCTGTATCAACTCGCAGGAGGCCGTCAACACCGAGCAGCTTTTATACTTCGCCATGACTGTTCACTCCGCACATTCGGACTCACATATGGTTGTGTCGTCAGTGCGCGTGAGTCAGTACATTCGCGTGCAGCACGGTCGTGAACTGCGCTTCATGCGACAACGGGAGGTATGGCATCCGCGCTCATCGAACGTGTGACTCAGTATAGCTTCTGAATTCTCGAGAGAAAGGCGTGTATCGGTGTTCATTTCTTCCACTTCTTCCAAGCATCTACAAAACCTACCTCTTCCGCCGCCTCATCGCGCCCGCCCAAGCCACCAGCTACATCCTCCAATCCTCCCAGATCAACGAGCGGCACCATACTAGGCCGACCATGCGCACACATGAACGGAAAGGCACAGCCCGCTAGGTTCATCACCAACGCCTTACAGTCATCGGTACTAAGCTCATCGTTGAACATGATAGCTGACCGACATGCGCGGGAGTTGACGAGATTGATGAGGCCTGGTGGGCATGTTGCTAGACGTCTTACCCAATTGGCGGGGTCGTTTGCTGATGAGCTGGATGATGTGGGTAGAGGGGGAAGATGTGGATCTTCTGCGTACTTCCACACCGTCGAGCGGAGGAAAGAGATCAAGACTTTGGGATCGGCTTTGCATCGTTCGGATATACCAGTGGGAAGAGCTGTCACGGACAAGACATACTTCTCCTTGTCGGTGGTGCTGGAAAGAGATGCAGACGCTGTTGTCTGGAGGACATCGTAGAGGATACCCCATGCTGCAAAACGCGCGGCATGCGTTGTGAAGTGTGTTCGTTCCTGCGGAGAGATTGCGACTTGCGTTGGTTTATCCAGAACGACGGAGGCTACCTGCGCCTGGTGCCCAAGCTTAGACTGGTATCCTGTTTGCTCATGTGCCGGGTGGCAGAGTTGGCTTAGGAGCGACTCGACCTGCACACGCTCATCTGCTGCATGCTGATCAATCAACACGAGAAGACCCGCGCATGCAAATTCTACTCGCGTTGAATCTCGCATCTTGACAAGGATAAACTTCTTGTCGACCTGCGCAATGACTTGCGCGTCATGCAGCCCTTCTTTTGACAGTCTACTCGAGCCGCTCGATGAAGTTTGGTTGAAAGCTCTGTCGATATCGATGCGAGAACAGCCATGTCTGGAATGATGGTGTCCGTGGTCAGCCTCATCTGCGTGCAACACAGCTTGTTGTATACGCTTCTCGCTCGTCTTGAAGACTGGGTTCTCCCACGTGTCCAGTACATCATCAAGCCAGGGGGTCTTGCCAGCCACAGCCGTCGCAGCCCGTGTCGGTAATCGCATTGACCTGTTCGACGTGTTCTGAGATATTGAATTCGAGAGTATAGCTGAGTCGGTACTTGGCCGCGACCGAGCGTCAGGTACCACGCAACCTGTTCTAGCGTTCAGCAGATGCGTCTTCTTAGTCGTTGGATCTGTCCACAAGATGGTGTCGTCGTTCTCCTTATCGTCGGTTTCGAGGATTTCTGCAGGCAGCGAAATATCGTCGCGCTGGCCTTGTCCGCTTAGAGCACCTTGAGGTAGCGGCGCTACGTCAAAGTGGGCGAAAGCTTCGGGGTTCGCACCAAGTGAAGTATCGAATGCGGTCTTGAATTTCGGCACGTTCAGAGTGCTGCTGAAGAACTCGGGCTTTCCACTCTTGATGCGTGACCACTCTGCAAAGGCCCCAGAGCGAGACCGGTCGGCCAACTCCCGTGACGCTATCTTGTCTGGACGCTTCCTCTTGAGAGACTGGGACGGGGTTGAACTTTGCTTTGGTGTTGCCGAGCGGGCTCTCGCGTCGTGTCCTCGGAAAGCCATGTTGGTTGTGGGACTCTCCGTAGATGGCACATTGACAGCAGAGTCCTCAGCAGCGCTACAAGCAGTACCAGGTCGATCGCGCTTCATGCGAGGTTGCCGGGGTCTGAAGTGATGGACCGACAACCATTGAGTTACCATTGCATCCAGGACCTCCATCACGTTTTGTAGATTCGCTTCGTCTCCGATGAACTGATCTTCGGAAACGCTTCTCCTTCGAGCCTCCTTCAACGAGATGCGAAGGTGAAACATGGGATATCTGTCGACGTCTTTGCGTGCTTTGAGCTGCCTGTTTGTGTAGCCATCTTGCTTGAAGCGCTTGTCTGTCTGTCGTCGGACTTTCTCCTGCTCATCGATGTCGGCATCTTCCTCGATGGTGCCAAAACTGGACAATGCGAAGAGGCGATTGACTGCATCAAAAAGCTCGTTGTGACCGGCCTCTGCAGAAAGCGGTCGTATGCCCAGCGAGATGAACTGAACATGCTTGCTGGGTGCTGGAGTTAGTGATATAGCGCCTTTGATCGAGATGGCAGATGTGGAAGCCGACGCTGGTACCCACGACGCCCACTCATCGACGGTGATGCAGTTGGCCTGGGTCAATACGTTGAGGAGTGATGCGAGCTGTGCCGATCGTGGCTTCGCAATCTCACTTTCTTTTCTCTTTGCGGATGCTTCCACGCCGGATATGCTGAGACTGAGCACCACCCTGTTGTCACCGTCCCGTATTCGAATAGCGACCGGACGCTGCCAACTGAGCAAGAGACCCGTTACGTCCCTCTTCAACCCATCCCAGAGTCTGTCGTGTTCGGCTCTTTGCTCTGAAATTATCGACCGTTGCTTCACGCGCACGGGCATATTGCCGAACAAGTTCCGCACGGTGACGCGGGTGCCATGCCTGCCTGATATCTCGTGATGCGCCGACGCCGGAAGTTGCCTTTCCACGGCCTTGGATTGGTGGAACGTTATCGCGTTGTGCGAACGGTGTTGGTAGTGGTGCGAGGAGATGGTTAGGAGTGACATAGCAGCGAGCGACGCGAGGAAGGTGCCATTGCGGCCAAGCAAAGGTTCGGTCGCATGGTACTTGGACGTGCCTGTCGCCGTCAATTATCTGTCTACATGGCTTTCGGCGTGTGCACATACAGTAGAGCTTGCCCAGGCCTCCTTCTTCGCGAAACTCGAGGGGAGATACGCCGAGACCGTCATCTTCGACCGAGCATCCGCCGCGCGCGAAGTCAATCGCGGCTTCTACCTTGGTCGCTTTCGCATCCAGGGAATTCTTCAGGAGCTCCAGCACAACTCCCGTAAGCGAGACAATTGCCGTCGACGACTTGATTTGGGCGATCACCTCGGCGGGCAGGGGCAGTATAGTTCGCGTGGGAGCATTGGGGATAGTATGTTTGGCGCCAATGGACGTGTTTCGGGTCATGACGTAGTGATAAGTCTGGCGGGCGCCCCCTCAGCCTTCGTTGTTTGATGACCCGTGTTCGATCATGTTAAGGGGTCGCGCCGTGATCAGTGTTGAGTTTGGGTGGGCGATAACATGGAGATCTACAGAACATACGCAATCGTGTGTCGTGAAGGGAACATGGCGGCTTAGCGCGGCGGGCTGCAGGTGCGCTGGGGAAAAGGGTCAGGGTCCAGCCGGAGATATGAGCAGGAGCGACCAGCAGCTCCTCGCTCTTTCCCCATCAGCGCAACCTCCCGGCCCCAACCGCGTAACCTAGACTGCCTCAATCGCCTCGGATTACTGATAGCAGCGATACGACTTGCTGTCTCGCCATTCGATAATCGCGCCCGACCGCCTGCGCTGGCTTTCACGACGCACACCGCGCTACCGACAGCCGCGTCCCCATTACTCCAGTAGATTCGACGTGGGATCGTCAGACTAAACGTGGCATCCCGCGCCTAACTAGCCCAACGACCTCCTTCACTCACCACCGGCACTCTATATTTGGCAGCCGGCATAATGGCTACGGCCGAAGCTGCGTCGAGACCCCATGGTACGGTGAACTAGTCTTGCACAGCCATTGTCTCAGACAACTACCCAAATTATATCCTCCCTACGCCACGCCCACTCCCCCCTCACCAAATCATGCTCACGATGCTAACGCGATACAAAGACCGACATGCGCGCAAGCGACCCTTTGCGGGTTGGATGAAGCGCCTGGCCAATCTCAAGCCCTCATCGTCCGACGCCCCAGGCAAGAAGGGCAACACTGTCAAGAAAGGCGCTCCAAAGAACAACCCCTATCCTGAGTCTGGCTACATCAACACCAACGTACCGCCCGCCGACAACTCGTCCGTCACGACCCCGGCCACATTACGATCGCACGACAGCTATACGTCCATAGAGGAGCCCGCGGCCGGACAGCGACAGGCGATAGAGAGGAGCAACAAGTCCACGGCACCCACTGTAGCCACAGTCCCCGAGACAGTACACTCGTCGCGATCAAAGGCAGAGACAGGTGGCAGCAACTTTGTCAATGGCGGCAGCACGTTCTCGTCCCCGCACGGCTCAGAGCACTCTCTCACAACCACCCTGACCACCATACAATCGACTGCGCCCTCAAATATCCTCAACCTCGGCCAGGCGCAACCCCAGAACAATGCGACAACCACAAGCACCACGCCTGTGCACTTTTCGCATCAGTTCCCCACCTCCCCGCCGCCGTCAGCCATACCGCCGCATCTGGCGCCACAGCAGCCGCAGCAGCAGCAGCCCAACTCATATCAGGGCGCCACCGCGAACAACATCCTCACCGATAACGCGTCCATCCTCACACTCGCCTCATCCTCGAAGCGCCGCCGTCGCAACTCCGTAGATACCAATGCCTCGATGCGCGCACTAGCGCCGTCGTCGCATTACGGCGGCAGTCGCGAATCGCTGCCCCTCAGCGTACTATCCGCGAACCCCGACGCCATATACTCGCCCTCCGGCAGGCCAAGCAACGTCAGCGCCTTCGTAAACGCGGAGCGCGCGAGCGTCTACTCTGCGTCTGGCGTCACAGCCCCAGTCCTGCCCAGCGAACGCAACAGCTACTACGCGACCAAGCAAGCCGACGGACTCAGCGTGCGCAGCGGGCTCCTGGGCCACGGCCGCACTGATAGTATCAGCAGCATGCGCGCCACGCCCACCAGCCCGCTCGCCAGCCCCCGCGAAAACCCCATGGGCCCCGCCCGCATCAGCCGAAAGAGCTCAGAGTGGAAAGACGCGAGGGAAGCGAGCGACGAGGACGAGGCGCCCGCGAGCCCAATCGTCGAAGAGCATGAGGATAAGCCGACACCGAACGCTCAGACCTGAGTCAGTCCCAATGAAGCAGGCGCACGAGTACAAAGTTATGATAACCGAGATGCCAACATTGGCGTTGACGGGGTTAGGATTGGTGGGTGGGCTGTGTCACGATATTCGGATTAATAGGGCAGTATGGAATATGGTTACTGGTACTGGTGACTCTTGGATGATGCGAGGATGGCGTTAGTCTGGGGTTGGGCTGGATGGGTGGGTGGGTTTGTGGTATTTTGGCTTCTTCATCTTATACCCTAGTATCGAATGGAGCTTCTTTTTTCTTTGCGAAGTGAGTGCACGATGATATGTTTGGGTGTATTGATTGGAGAAGGCGCGACTAGTCTATGGGGCATATGGTCGCTCATTCTCCATTGGAAGCGAACCGGCCCGTGGCCTTTCCTCAACCGTCAGAGTTCTCTCCATGTTCCCCAATCTCTTCTGCTCATTCATCTCCGTCTCCTAGCTCTCACAATTGTTTCCGTTGGCAGGACACGCCTTCTTTTCTTGCTCGGACTCGTGAAGATGATAGTCGCAAGCAGACAACTCCGTCGTTTCATCGCATACCCGGATCTTGTTTTGCTTCAGCATAACGGCAACAAGGAACTCGTTTGGCAACTGCGACAGGTGACTCTTTTCTTCTTCGTCGTCTTGTTCCTCATTCCACGCAGTGCACTGCAAGTCAACCATCATAGCGAGGATCAGGCTGTCCGACGGCAGGTTGTCGAAGGCCCATATGATAGTCGCGTAGGAAACGCCACTGGCTCCGCCATCCACTCCTTCCCCAAATTGCACATTGACGAACGTGTTGTGTGCGAGATGATGGAAGGCTGGAGCAAGGAATCGATCTCCGAACATACCACACTTCAAGACAAGTTTCCAAGCATGGTAACCTCTGGACGGGTGCATTGGATAGACAGGATCAGTTTCCTCTGCCAGTCGGAGGATCGACTTTGCGTTGTTGGGCAGCGCTTGAGCGTATAGCCAATGGACAAAAAGGTTAAACACTTCGGGGTCGACATCTTCCAGCGTTACGCCCTCGTCCGACTCTTTCCAGCGCCCGTTGTACGCAGTGCGAAAGTACTCTGAGTGGTGACAGACTATGTCCTTGTGGATGTTGTAACGCTTCTTCTCGTAGCCGACGAAGATGGTGACGATTTCGCCTTTGGCGACAGTGCTGTTCAGTCTGTTAGTGACCGCGATAGCTCTAGTCGCAGCGAGTGAACTACTTACCTGAACCTAGGTGCAGCTTGAGATACTTTCAGCTTGTCCGCCATAGCGATGTCGGATTTGTGCGGATGTGGTGTTGTAGAGGTAGAATAGAGATAAGGTGGGAGGAAGAGTCGGTGCAGACTAATCGCGGCTTGGTCAAACTTCGGAACTGAAGGTGCGTCTAGAGCAAACACTCTAATACTGAAGATGCTCTAGCGTAACTGTTTCTCCATTGTCCCCTATCAAACCGTGAGAGCGGTTGAGGAATACGTTGTGTGGTGTGAAGCATCTTCGAGAGGGTATGAGGGGGTGTGTCCTGCTTCAAGTAGTTTGCGGTGGTGTCGAGTGAGCTCATGAGGTAACTATATGTCTACATAGGTTTCTTGGAGGCTCATAAGAGGTTGTGAGAAGGCTTGAGTACCTCCTAGGTCCAGTGAGGTTGTTGAAATCGTCGCGAGAGAGATCGATGTAGCCGTCTCGCACTGGTCGATTTCAGAGGATATACATTTCGTAACTACACCTTAAACCTATTCTTTAGAGACAGATAGAGTTATTGCAGTGTGAACTCAGACACTAGTCGATGGCCGAATGATATACATACCATATCTACCCCCAAAACCTCTCCATACCGTTCTAAAGTGCGGTCCGACACTGCCCTATTACAAGTGATACACACCCGATATATGTCCCCTGAACTATCTCTTGTGATGCTCTAGTACCATCTCAACCACCTCCCATCTTCTTCAACTTCCATCCATCTGGTGAAAGATGGGATGAAAGACATAGTGGGCTGTGCGGTGAAGAGTCAAATGTGACTAACATGGCGAAGAGTCAACACCACGCAGCCACCACACAGTCACAACACTGTATGTGACTGTTATATGTATGAATCACTGTATGGATATGTCTGGTATAAGAGTGGAGGGGAGTGGCATCTGGTTGTCACTATGCACGCCCTCCTGGTACGCTGCCTATCTGAGACGACATCAGACGAAATTTCACAGCAGCAGCCGTTCAGCTCGCACCGAACTAAAAAAACCTTATATATATTATGCCAACTGGATCGATTACCATTGTTGATGCCAAGATAAAACAAGAGATACAGCGAAGCAAGGAACTGTTCGCTTCCAGCATCAAACAGTTTCACAACTTCGAGAAGACTAGCGACGCGATCAAAGCAGCCAAACACAGATTCGAGAATCACCAATCGCTTCTAAACGCCTCAAGTGATACTCTACTGGAAGGTCTCTCTCATCTGAACGACCATTTGGAGGCTCGGCAAGCAAGACTTTTGCTCATTGCAGACGATGCAACCCTCGAGAAAGCATGGCAGGAAACCAGAGACATGTTGGAGTTGCTTCTTCAATGACAAACAACGCGACATCAATTGCATTCCTATGGTACGTCCTACGAGATCCGAGTTACGTTTGCAAGCGCTAATCATGTATTCCCAATCACAGACGCTCTCCTCTCATCTAATCACAACTGTCTGGGCCGAGCATCCATCGAACCACTCTCCAACTTCGCAGCCGAACATCGGGTTTCCTATACCAACACGTTGGAAAGAATTGGACGAATCTGGGAGGAGATCCAAGACCAGCATGCAACGGCGTCGCAGTGAAACATCGTGAAAGCGAACGATGAGTAGTCCATACAAGACTCCGCTTTCACTCCACGGATCAGTTGGCCACCATCTTGATTCGTCGTCATGAAGCATAACGCTATATCGAGTATCATCGCCCCGGTCGGGCCCAAGGCGAATATAACCTTTCCATTCGTCCCATCGAAGTTTACAAAGTGGGCCTTTGGCCACGATGTGTCCGTCCGTGACTTGACCCCATTCGTCCCACGCATAATGTACATCGACATCTAATATCGTGGTTTCGCACTTGTACGCATCGATCCATATTCGGTCTTCCCACGTGACTGCGCCGTCGATAGAGGCCCATGACCAGGTCGGTGCGCGATACGGTTTTGGACGTGGGCCTGGCCCTTTTTCACTGATCCTCCACAATAGTGTCTCTGGTAGATGGCTGTCCCAAAGTCCAGCGATGTATCTTACCCTGCTGTTCACTCTCTCACGCCACGTGGTCCACACATCTTGTGCCATTCCAGAGATAGCTATTAACTTATCACTCGGATATGTGAGATTGGCCTTAGTATAGTCGGTGACCAATGCCTGCCACACCATCTGCATCTGTACCGCGGCCGATAGGTTCGATAGCCCCGGAAGGCGCTTGTGTATGACTGAAGATATCGATGAGCAGTCCCTCGTCTGCTGATATACGGACTTGGGCAATGTACCAATAGAGCCCGTGAGACCACGTGGAAGACCCTGAGGAAATGATTCACAGTAGTTGGCAGAACGACATTCCCAAAATACCTGCCCTTTGCCGAAGTGCAAAACCCGTTTCGAGAGCTGTCGTTCTTGAAAAATCCATGCACGCTTGAAGGCCGCTGTCTTCTGAAGTTCCCGACCAAAGTCGTCTTCGTGAACGATATGCCAGCTTGGGCCTAAACCTTGGCAATCCCGGTGCCGCCAATCGAAACCATCAAAGGGAGGACACATCGGAAATGGGCCGATTTCGGCTGGGTCGCGGTCGAAGTAGAATCCCTCGCTTGCATCTTCAGCTCCCGATGCTGATAGGTTTAAGGCGGAGTTACGATAGACCTTGTGCATTCGCACTGATTCTGTCTGCCAGTCTGCATGGTCATCTTGTATCTAATTGGAGGGGTCAGCAACCAGCCCCTTATGCTTGAGTTGCGAGATCATCGTACTATGCACAACGAGTCTATCCATATGTACCGCAACCCAAACGATCTGCAAAGGGCGATAGCATGTTGAAACGTCAATGGAAGTGAAAGAAGATTGGTTCCTTCTTGGAATTGGACGTAATTTGCGCCAAGTAGTTTGATAATCGGTTTAGACCCCCAGCAGTGGCTCAGAGTGGCGTAGCCACCTTGCAGGTTGTGTTTTGTTGTAACAATCAGTCTCGGATCGGACGTGTTCGGCATTACCTCTAGCAGCCTTGTCGGATACCATATCGTAGATGCATCATCGCGACAACTCTCATGAGATTCTCTGCAATGCTTGAACCACTGCCTTGCCAAGCTCAGGACCTTTGGAGAGCCTGAATTAAAAGGAGCCATGCTGAATGGTTTTCTCAATGTGTCTGATGTAGTTAGCACCGATCCGTCGCCAATAGCACATACCTACTCGGAGCGTATGGAACACAGTGGAAGACATCGAGTGGTACCCTAGCCAGATCATCGTCTTCTTGGCCACCTCGATACAACCTGATTGACGTGGTCTGCATAAAATCACCAGCTTCAGGAGCGCTAGTGGTTGCAATGTAGAAGGTCGCTGGATGGACCCCGAGAAGCTTCACGGGGCGAATCGTTTCCTTCAGAGTCCGCCGCAGTCTAGTGCAGATATAGCAACCGGCCATCTTTGCTGCAGCAAGTTCTAAGAACCCCTGGTGATGGATCTTGTAAGAATCAAGCGGTATCTGATCGTCTGATGGTGTCCGAAGAAGAATCGGTTGCATAGCCATGCACACATCGCAAAGATGCATGATTACGAGTGAGAATCGCAACCTGAGACTCCCAACAATTCGACGAAGAAAGGTCTCGTTCGATAATACCGTGGATGATGGAAAAGAGGGAGCATGTCGAAGCAAATGACGTACTCCGCGATGGCGGGGCTGTGAAGTCATGCACGAATGTGGCACAGTAGCACAACATCGGACCTTCTCGCAAAATTATATTGCAGCAGACTCGCCCAATCTGGTCCTCGCTGCTTGTGCATTCGCGTAGTAGGAATGGTTCCACGCACCCACTGCCATGCAGATAGACATTGAGGTAGCGTGACCAGATGGGGCGGATAAGGTGTGATGATCTCGGTGGTAGGTAGCGTTTGTTCTTTGGAAAATGGCGGTTATAACGCCATCTAATCGACTGGCATGATAAGCTCGTGTGATTGAGTGACCTTTTGCCGCGAGCGTATCCGAAAGAATATAAGTTCGAGGAGGATTGCTCGTAGCTCCACTCACTTCCGTGCCGGCTGGCCAAGCAAACATTGCATTGCTGATACCTGTGTAAACCGGAGGCATATAAAACAACATGTGTTAGATGGTAATAGTCCTACGTCGCTAGCGACTAAGAGAAGTCACATGCCCGGCCGAGTGTTGCGATTTGGAGCGTCGGATCAAGCTGCTTCCTTGTCGAAAGCTTCGCTAGCTCTACAACCCCGTCCATATAGGCGAAAGAGACGACTCGCTGCCATGTGTCGCGCTACATTTTGATGTAACAGAGCTAGGCCAATCGCAGCGACAACACGCCCAGTCGGTCGTTCGTGAACGGATGACATCGAACTTTGCAAGGCAGTTGATGTGTTCGGTCCTGCATACGCGGCTGACCTCGAACTATCTGCACAGTAGGGATGTGCTAAAGAGATGAATTGTTGCGAAGAAGCTTTTGACCAGTGAATAAGGTATTGTCCATGCGGCGTGACAGAAGAGAACCTTGGAATAGAATGGGCGACAATTGACGACCGCCCGCAGTTGCAGATTTCGGATATTTGGTTAACTGAGTCAAAAGTTCCGTCCACCGCGCATATGGCATGTCTCGCGACGCGATTCGACGTGCGGGAGATGAGATTGGAAGGATAAGAAGAGGAGGCTGACGGTGTTCGCGTTCTGGCCCGCAAACCGCGCGGCGATACGCGCCCGGCTTCCTCCAGGGCTGGGCATCCAGGGGCTCGTGCGCTAGGATCAGTGCGGATTAGCGCCCTTGGCAACCCATCTTTCCGCTCTGGCTGCGTGCGTCACCTCAACAACATCCATGCCTCAAAGTTCGTTCCCCAGGGCCGACACGGTTTCGAGTCCGCTTCGACGCATACATTCTTTCTCTCGAAAGGGACTTCCGTCCTCACAAGATCATCACCGACCATTGAAATTATCGTCTTCAGCCTAGTTTGGGTTGGCTGGCATGACACCTAGCAGGTCGTTCATGTCGTACACCAACTACGACACGAACATGTCGCTTCTGTGGTATGGAATGCAAC